CTCTCGACGACATTTTTCGACGGCCATCTGTACCACTGTTGTTCCTGGCGCCCGTGGACGAACATCTTCGATCGGCAACGGTCGGCGTCATGGAACTGTCTCTTATACACATCTAGATGTGTATAAGAGACAGGGGGGGGGGAAAGGAGGAAGGATAGGCGTCAGTCGAGAAGCAGTGTCAGCAGGAGGGGGGGGGGAAAGGAGGAGTGGGGAAGGGGAGGAGCGGGGAGGGGGTAATTTTGGACGTTGTCGATAGCTGTAATTAGTACGGACCTCTTGTATTCTTTCTTTCTTTCTCACGTAAAGTTTGTCTTTTTGTTGTCTCTTTCGTGTTGTGTTTTTTCTTTTTGTCTTTTGTAACCTTCTATTGTCCCTTTTTGCATCTTTGGAATTGTGGCTCTTTGCAGAATGGCAATCTGATGGAGACCGTAGTGGGGGCCAATGTGCCCCTGCTAGCCAAACTGATTCCAAAATTATGCCCTGAAACGCTGGCGGAGGACAAACCCGAGGACAATCCAATGATCAAAAAGAGGAAGGAAGATTTGGAAGCTGCGGCGAAGAAGCCGGATTCTGCGGGAAAAGACTCGGCCACTTAAATGACGCCTACTCACCCATGCAGCCCCCCCATAATCCCCCATTGTCGTAATTTGCAGGGCCAGACTGGAAGATTTAAATTGGTTATTAACCAGAGGGACAGATGAGTCAGTTGACCAGCAGATGGTTAACTGGATGAGTTAACCATATGGATGTCATTGACTAACCCATCAGCTGAGGTTAACCAGATGAGTCATTCCATCATTTTATGAATTTTTATCAGATGGGTAACTTAAACCGTTAGTACACGGCACCAGCCTTGCTGAAAAGAAACCCATCGTCGCCTACAAGATGCCATCCGAAAAAGACGGCGCAGGCGCATCGTCGATAACAGGCGCATCGTCAATAAAAAGAATTGGTGGCCTGCGTTGCTTTTCGGATTCTGAAAGGCGCCCGCGACCGATAGCTGGATGTAGTATGGACTTCAAACTTTAAAGCCGACGAGTCAGTCAACCAGATACATCGGGTTAGTTAAAAGGATGAGTTATTTAACTAGTAGTAGATGGGTTGATTACAACCCACTGAACGCAGTGAGTCAGTTAATCTTTTTTTTTTTTTTTTTTTTTTTTTTTTTTTTAAACTCCCCCAGCAGTGTTAGTGTTGGTGATAAGAGCAGACACCACTAACACCTGGGGAGAGGCTCCATCTATTGGTGGGGAGCTTCACCTGCTGGAAAGCGGGTACAGACTGAACTTGACTGCACTTGAATACATCAGGAGAACAATTGTGGGGTATTCCTGCCAGCATTGATTACCCTGGGATCTGGGATCCAGGGGATTGACTGAGCAGGATGTAAGGAGGAAGGGGGAACCTCTTCACCCTGAATCAGGCGCCCAATATGTCACTACACACTAGTTCCTCCCTTCCCCTACGCCTTATTGGATCCATGCTAGCTGGAAATCGGGTCCAGCGTCCCATAACCTGCCTGGGTGCCATGAAGAAGAAACGGAAGGGGCCACTGGGGGGTACCAGTAGAAACTCCCTTTGTCTCTCTTCTGGCACTTGACACTCCCTTGTTCTAACATAGATCTAACATAGATCACTCAGACTGCCAGCCTTGACTACCCCACTCAAAAGGAAAAAACGCCAGCAAAACAAGATATGTATGTTAGTGGAGTCCTCCCAGGGGGCTCCGAATATGTATATGCATGTATATGTATGTATATAAATGTATGTATGCAGATGTATGCAGATATGAATAATCAGGACAGGATCTCTGCCAGGGAAAGGGCACGAGGTGGGAAGGGGTCTGGGAAGTCTGAGGGAGGGTGTAGTGGGAATGAGGGTTTGATGTTTGTCCAATCTTTAAACGAGGCGGTAGTCTCTCATTTCGTCCAAATCATGCTGTCCCTCTCCCCCGTCTCCCCTGTCTCCACTCCATTCCACTTTTGCAATCCATCCTTCTCTCGGCCCTCGTACCCAATCTGTGCAAAAGGCTGTAATCTGTCTCTTAACATCCCCAACTTGTCTAAAGAGGTCTAATCGTGTTTTTGTGTCTGACCATCTTCGTGTGAGTTCGAGGTGCACGTGCTGCTGAATCTGTTTTGTGATCTCCGACCCTTCTACTGTCACCTTCTCCATTGCCATGGTGCACCTCTGCCACCAGAGTGCCCATATCACCGCTCTCCTTCCCAGTCTGTACATATTCTCTACAAAAGTCCTCGCTGCTCCTACCGGCAGCCAATGGCCAGCCAATATGGCTTGCCATGACCAGGGCCAGGGAATGTCAGAGTCCATCTTCCTCCATATGCGGTCCCACCATCTCCATATGAATTGGGCGATCGGGCATTGCATGAAAATATGTTCGATGGTCTCCGCCTTCTTGTGAAAGGGAAAAAGACTGTAGAACCGCTGGCACCATGGAAGTAGCAGACCTCTTTGTTCTAAGGTGGTGCGGTCAAACAACCAGTCGTTGGTTGGCAAGCAGCGATGGGCAAAATCTGCCACTGTAGGGAGGTAATTTTCATGGGTTTAGATTTTTGTTCCTTGAATCATTGAATCGGTGTCAGGAGGGTGCGGTCCACATTTAGGTGTCGGGCCCATTGGTCATTGACAGTGTCCCTCAGGCGCCGTTTAGGCCTAGGCATTTTACAGCTGATGTGACCGACAGTTGATGCAGGTTTATGTGGCCGTCTTTGGGGCCTCTCCATGTCCACTCTACTGGATCGAGAGCCAGACCCTGGATTGGCTTGAAAGGCTGGAACGCCACCCTTTGTCCCTTCTCTTCTATAACTCTCACCCGGTACACAGGTGTCTTATCTTTCCATTCGAAGGGGGCTCTACTCCCTTGGAGAGTGTTTGTTCTGGTAATAGTGTAGTGTTCGACCAGGACCGTTTGGGGTGAGATCATATGGATTTGCCTCATTCTCGACAGGGTCTCCGTACTTGCTACAATGCTACCGAATCACCAACTCGCAAGGTGAGACCTTGTTTAAGAGTTCGGTATCACGCTAGTGGGAGGGCTTCGATCAGGTTATCCAAAAGTTCCTCTACGTGGTGGCAGTGCCACAAGGTTTTCCGCAACTGAGTTCCTGTGACCCAGTCTTGTCTCTCGTTGTCCCAGAGATCCCTAACCCTAAGCACCCCTCGTTTAGCCCAGCTCTTTCAGGGCAGGGATGACCTTATCATGATGCAGCCTCTTTGGTTTGTCACCCATCGATTTCCAAAGAAGGGTTGTCGGTAGACCTCTTCCCAGCGGATGGGATAGGTCCTGTCTGGGAGTGGAAGTTTACGCCAGGTTCCTAGCAAGGATGACCAAAAATTGTCCATCGTCTGACCACCTTGATCCAGCCCCTCCCTTCGTTGAGGGAACTTACGTGGGATCGTCCAGAAGCGGTCCTCCAACCATGTCAAAGGGTGGGTCGTTTGGGGGGTTGTCGGGGCTAGTCGGATCAGGTGTTCTCGAGCTAAAACACACCATGGGCTTTGGGGGGCGAAGATGAGTTTTTTAATCCATTTTAATCTTAATGATTGCACCTGCGTGGATGGGTCAATTATTATCAGGCCTCCCCTCGCCTTAGGTTGGATGATTGAGTCCCATGCCTATTGGCTAATTACGTTGCTCTGCTCGCCGTCCCCCCTCCATAGAAGGACCGTTGTCATTTTTCTTAGACTCCTCAGGGTCACTTTGCTCAGTGGCCATAACAGGGACTTTTACCATAGTGTTACAACAATCATATTCTTGACTACTAGTGTGCGTCAAAACAGGGATGTGTGCTTGTTCCTCCAATTGGTTAATTTGTTGAGTCGGGGTGATGATCCAGTCATCATTGGTTGGCAGGCGTCTCTCAGTAATCATGCATACCCCTAGGATTCTTATAGGGGTCTCTAGCGGCATCCATGTAATGTGTGGTGACTCTGGGGGGCGTCCCCCTTGGTAATGAATCCACCATCCTTGTGTTTTTTTCCCCCAATTGACTATTATGTCGGACACCCTGGCAAACTTTTCCATCATCTGTTGAATTTCCTCCATGTTGCGGTGTGTGGTCTCTTCCATGATTGTGAGATCGTCCGGAAACATGGAGCAAACCGGGACTGCATCCTCCAGAATGTGTGTGACTCGGATTCTAATGATGTTTTTGTTTGCCAGAAGGTTTGCAGGGAGTGCCTCCATAATGACCAGGAAAAGAAAGGGGGCGATTGGGTCCCCTTGGCGGACCGATCGCTCCAGGCAGAAGGGTGGTGTCAGGTATCCATTGACTTGGACGCAAGTAGTCGCATTTTGGTGTAGAATTTGTATCCAGCGTCTGAAGTGTGGCCCAAAATTCATTTTTTTTCAGACATTTGTCTAAAAACAGTCAGTCTACATGGTCATAGGCCTTTTCGAAGTCGATGAAAATCAAGCCAGCGTTTTGACGAGAGTGTCTCGTGAGATTAAGTATATCATAGATTAAAAGGATATTCTCTTGTATGTTCCGATTCTTCATGAAACCGGTTGGGGATGGATAATGTCTTCCATTACCAAGCTCATTATGTTCGCTAAGGCTTTGGACAACATTTTGTACACTACTGTGAGGAGTGTGATTGGCCGGTAATTTCTAATATTCATTTTGTCCCCTTTTTTATATAGAAGGGTGAGTATCCCTTGCCCCACCCTTTCCCCCATCTCCCCTGTGAGCCTTACTTCTTCGTAGAAGTCCATAACATCCTGGCTCAAAAATTCCCATGTAGTTTCCCAAAATTCCTTGGGGAAGTCATCGATCCCATGTGTCTTCTCCTCCTTCATTTGCAAGAGGGCGGTCCAAATCTCATGTTTAGAGAGTGGGGCCTCTAGGAATCCCCGCTGCTCTGGTGTTAGTGTTTTGTCTAATGGTTCCAAAAAATTCATTATTAGGTGATCATGGTGTGGTGCATCCGACCTGTCCACATGCAAAGAGAAGAGGTTTTTATAGAAATCGTATGTTATCTTAATACATCAGGTCGTGGTCACGGTCGGAGCCAATTCCTTGACTTTCAGTTTGTAAAGTGCTTCGATCGTGGTTCTTTTGATGCGTGTTCTGGCCAAGTTGAAGAAGTGAGAATCCATTGCTCCTTCAGAAGAAAATTTGGATAGCCTTGCCCTTGTTTGAGCTCCCTGCCATCGATACCGTGCGTGCTTCAGTAGCTGGGTCTTCAGGACCAGTACGTAAGTTTGTAGTTCAGAGATCCTTGGTTCTTGCCCTTGCGAATTTTGCTTTTGTTCTGCATCCACGAGGTTTTGCATAATCGTGATTTCTTGGTAGTGTCGCTGTGCGGCTAAATATTTGGAGTATTCATTACATTTTTTTACCATAAAGAAAAGTCTGTTATTAAACCATGTGATTTGAAAGTTTTGTTGAGGGCGGTGATCTTTTCAGAAATCCCAGATCTGCTGTAGGTATTTCTGGAAGGATTTGGACCGAAGTAGGGATGTATTGAGTTTATTGTAGCTGGCCCCCTGGTCTAGCCGTTTGCGAAAAGTTCAAACTGCCATACACATTCTGTGGTCCACACCTGGATACGGGTTGGTAGGTAGTATTGTTGTCACCGTGAGCCCCACTCCCAGCTCTTCTGATGTCAAGATTAAATCGATTCGGGATTTAGACAGTCTGTCGGGGTCATTGTTTTGAATACAGGTATAAACTCTTTCAGTCGGGTAGCTACACCTAAAGGTGTAGAGAAGCGAGAGGGGAGCGCACAAATCTCTCAGCATTCGCTCATCCTCCTCTGCGTTGTGTGTTGTAGTGGGGTGGACTTTCCATCGGTCTAGCCATCTATCCGGTGCAGCATTGAAGTCTCCTGCTAGAATAACTG